ATATTGCTAACCGCACCCCGGTTATGGGGTTCAAAAAAAAAAACAACTTGAGACTATTTAGGTCACATTATACAAATGAGTCTACTTCTAAACTTTGTTTATACGTGTAATCATATCTCCTGACAGATTCATACCTCAATCAATTTAGAAAATGTGAAAATATCCAGAAAAGTTTGTAATACTGGCTCTATATGGTAAAGAATATCAATCTCCTATGCAAAAGACAAGAGCCAATAAAAGGAGGAGGACATTCTACAGAGACTGTGTTGCAAATCTTTTACTCTTGTGACTCAGCCCCTGCATTTGGTTTCTGAGCAACATTGCAGAGGTCTTCAGGGTTCCCACTTCTGCCATTGATTCCAGAGCTGTAGTTAAGCCATGACCCTCTGAAACTCCCCCCGGGTTCTACCTCACAGCGGTCTGCAAGAAAAGTCACTGGAACCAGAAGAGGTTTGGGATAGCCAGGCAAAAAGACTTGTTCATGTCAATTTCCTTCCTCTTTCAATAGAACTGACCAGGAAAGCTTCCATTGGCATCCACTGTTTTCCTGGGGGTCAAGAAAAATCAAATTCACTTCTTTGAATTTGATAACTGTGCTCCTCTCTTTTATCTGGGATGGCACAAATGATAATTGACTTATTAAAGCAGTTAAGTGCTATGTATCTATTATTATTACTGGAAAAGTAAAAGCCTGGAGTCCAGTTTCTATTAAGGATTGTTATAAGAAATGTCTTCACATTTCTGGTAAAGCAACTGGCACAGAGCCACTTGTCCACTATGCCCTTTGAAATGCACATTGCATAAAAAGCCTTATGATAATTCCTGTCAGAACACAGTTGAGAGAGTTACTTGCCTCCCTTAAAAAGATGGTCTGCTTTCTTACAGAAGCATTAGGGAATCCCTTGGGTTTCTCTTTGTTCCATTGCTGCCAAGACTCTCAGGATGACCGTGGCTTGGCTGCAGTAGCCTCCCTTACTCACAGTTTCCTGGCCCTCCCCAACTGCCATCCCCACACTATATTATCATTGAATGATTTTCGTTATTTTAT